AAAATATTAAAAATAATAAAAATAATAAATAAATATAAATAAATAAACTTAAAAAATTAATTCAAAATTGAAATCATTGTTAAAAACAAAAAAACTATACAGAATACAAAGTTAGAAACAATAGCTGTTGTTGCTTCTGTGCTGGTGTTAGTTCCCAGTGTCTAACTTGTTCATAGGGCTGGGAGGACCTACTAACTAAAACTTTCCTCCAAACACAGAGTCATGTGGAGCACCAGTTAGGTTCATTGGCAAGAAATCTGAAGAATTTCTATATTTTAAGCATTTATACTAAATGGGCCTAATACTTTGCACGTCGCCTTCCATCTGGCCCACATGTTTGTCATGAGGACGAAACGTGTCATTAAGAATAAAGTACCTGGGGCGCCTGGGTGGCGCAGTCGGTTAAGCGTCCAACTTCAGCCAGGTCACGATCTCGCGGTCCGTGAGTTCGAGCCCCGCGTCAGGCTCTGGGCTGATGGCTCAGAGCCTGGAGCCTGTTTCCGATTCTGTGTCTCCCTCTCTCTCTGCCCCTCCCCCGTTCATGCTCTGTCTCTCTCTGTCCCAAAAATAAATAAACGTTGAAAATAAATAAATAAATAAATTAATTAATTAATTAATTAAAAAAAAAAAAGAATAAAGTACCTATAAAGTGCCTGGCCCTTAAGTAGGCACCAAAACAAAGATAGCTCTTGTGATGGTTGCTATCTATATAATCTCATATCATATCACTTGGTTTTAGAACTTCAGGTGACATATATTTGTCTTTATACTTTTCTGTACTTTTCAGATTGGCTGTGATACTGCTATTATAGAAACAATGGGCTTCTAGGAAAGAGTCATACCCTGTGTTTGTAATTTTTGTAAAAAAAAAAAAAACAACAACATTGCACGTACAGTCATATCACTTCCTTCCCTACCTCCTCATTGCCCTCAGGAAAAGGTCCTGAGTCCTTAACACACACACACACACACACAAAAGACTTCCAGAACCTGGCCCTTCTTCCCTCTTCAGTCTCATTTCTCATTCACAACCTCACAATCCAGCCATAATTGATTTCTCTCAGTTACTGAAAAATGCCACTTTCTGTCTCCGCCAAGCCGTTCTATTATGTCTCTTTCTTGGAACACTTTTCTCCACCTTACGGCACAGGTTTACACCTCCTTATCCCTCAGCTGTCACTTGTTTGTGCATTCATTCATTGATTCCATTCATTCCACAGAATTTTATTAAGCTTCTACTTTATGCCAGGACTCTGGGGAAGAACAGTGAACAAACTAGTTCCCTCTATCATCAAGATCCTGGTGGAAAGCAGACAACACGCTCACACTGGGTAACCTGAGAGGAGTTTAATAATAGGGACGAATCAAGGAGGTGTGGGCAGGGTGTAGGGATGGTCACAGGGGACACCACTGAGCCCACTGGGCAAAGGGAAGAAGTGGTTTGGAGCCTGGAGAGAGAGCTTGTGGAGAGGCCACCTGGCAGGACTTGTGACTTTCAGTCAAGGCCAACAGCTATCCTGATGTGACCCAGAGGAATAAAATTTCCCAGCTCATTCCCCACCTTGTCCCAATCTCCTGTCGGGGCTCCACATTAGCAAAACCCAACCTGAAGCCAGAAGCAAGCACTATTGATGCAGAGTGTATAAGCCAGTCTGCTGGGTCAGTGGGTAGGACAGAGAAGGCTGAGCATGGGTCTAAAGGAGCTAATGGAAAACATTCAGCACAAACCTTGCTCTTTATTCTAGTGGAGGGAGACAAACAGTATAATAATGGCTAACATTCAGCAAAACCAGAATAAGTGCCAGGCACATCCTAAGCACACATAACTCACTTTCTCCTCACAATAACTAATGGATTCAAATTAACAGGTGAGGAAACTGAGGCACAAAGAGGAACTGAAGGCATCAAAGCTCTGTCTTCTTGGTCAGTTACTTTTTTTTTTTTTTTTTTTCCCCTTTTCTGCTGGAAACCACCCCGGGAGCTAGAGCCATCAACCATCATAATTTCCCAGGACTGTCAGTTTTCCCAGGATGTGGCATATTCAGTACTAAAACCAGGACAGTCCCAGGCAACCGAGATAGTTGGTCACCCTAACTGTGGCTTTTTTCAAGTCTGTAAGAAATCCATGTTCACCTCCAGGCTCCTACCTGCTTCCTTCATGTACACAGCAATCAAACATTCTTGACAGATGGACAGATCAATCCTTATACAATTCAAGAGGAGAAAAGAAATGTACCTAAGAGAACTTACTTGAAAAAAAAAGACAAAGTCACATCTAAACTCTAAATAAACCATGCAATGTTTTTGGAAACTACAAAGCAATATTTGGGGAAGATGGAAAAAAGAGGGAAAAATGAATATTATGGATAAAAGACAGAAGGTTTTTTTTTTTTTGAGTAGTAAAATAAAGCACCAAGACTAATGGTCATCGGGATAAACTGAAATACAGTTGCCAACACATGCGTAAAAAAAAATAATAATAAAATGTCAAAAGAACTGGATCCAAAAAGAAAACACATTATCGAAAGAGAAAAGGAAGAAATAGAGGAGGGGAAAATAATATTAGCATATTCTGTTACACAAAATTAATATGCAATTATAAGCATTTAAGTATTCATGCTATGTAAATGCCTTTTGCAAATGAGATTATAGATTTGCTTGCAAACAGTAAGCATGCTAAATAAATGTAAGGTGCTATTATTTAAACAACAACAACAACAACGAATGGATGATATTGGCAGCCGTCCCTACAGAAGGCTCAAGCCTCCAAGAAGATACTGTCTATAAAGAAATTTACACTGCTCACAGCATCCCCACAGCTAGACCGGGGTTAGCAAATGAGAAATAAATATTCCTCTCTGAGTTCTCCCATGAATTGAAGTTGATTGGCTGGCTGGACAGTTGCATGGTGGGTTTCAGGATGGATGTTAAGGGGACAGAATCCTTGGGCTTACGATTGCTGGACAAAAATCTCTCTGTGGGACCAGGACAAATTCAAACAGGGCCTTAGCCCAAGTAAATGGCCCTCTAGCTGCGGTACTTGTAACCGTGAACACATCTGCTGTCCACTGAAGTGCCCTCCTCCCCTTCATCCACAGAGCTGATGAAGCAGAGGGACCGCAGGGGAAACTGAAGTCACTGTGTGTTTAGACCCGTTCTGCAGGACACGGCAAAATCCGAAATGGATTGTGACCTGCTGATAATCTTTCACAGCGAACTAAGTGATCACTGATTAAAAATAGCTTTGAACGTGTATCACACATCTATTTCAGGCCTCGTTTTATTTGGAATGCGGATGGCGCTGGAAGCCAGAGCGACAGGAGCAGCAGCTGGAAATCTACTCAGACATTCTAGCCAATTCACGTCAAGCCCAGTTGGCAAAATTAATGCCATTCTGCGGTCTCAGGGAAGGAGAGATGGTTAATTATGCCCCACTGCCCAGTGGTTCCTATTATGGACACATCTGGACTGAAAGGCTCATTTGAAATCCCCAATTTCACTGCTTCCCGGAGTCTAAACCGAGTTTAAAAATTGATTTGTGAGGATGAGAGTGTAGTGCATACAAACTGCCTTGCCCACAGACTCCAGGTAGGCTCTAATGAAAGTCTGTCCTGGTTTCAAAGGCTCTTTCGTACTCATATTTCCATCGGTGTTTCCTACCAGTTCCTAAAATGCAGTATTTGGACAGGTTTCTCAGTGAATAATAAATAAAACACACACGCCCATCTCCGCACCTCCGGGCTAAGGAGTCTAGTTTCCACGGCGCCCTCAACCGCTGCAGGCTGTGATGTTTTCATCTCTCTGATAGGAAGGCGGGCTGGGACCTTGTCTGTTTCGAACAGAAAGCCTTCTAAGGAATGTCTCTGCCCTGCATCCAGGGACACTGCCGTTTGTTCCAAGGAAAACTTCCCTCTAAATGATTGCTGGCTCCTGTGTTTGTAGCAGGAATGGTTGAATGGAAATGGCACTGTTGGAGGTGCCATGTTTGAGAAGAGAATCAAAACAGATCCTCCGTCAAACCCAGGGTGGCTATTCAAATCCTACAGGGCTTCAAGTTTAGCAAACCGGTCACTTCCTGTTGCACTTAGATCTCAAATAACACAGGTCCCTTTGCTCCGTTCCAACCTCCCGTGAGACCAGCGGTGTTCAGAGAGCAGAGAGCAGCATCAGACCAGGCAGCAGCCCCAAGGGGGAGACGTACCTTGGTGAGTCGGGTGTCCCTACAGGAAGTGGTACCAGAAACTCTGGGAAGCTGTGTTCTCTCCCCCCCACCCCCCTCGAGCTGCCTGATGACTACAGTTCATTTTGAATCTGTTCCTTTACAACAAACCTTTCAAGGCTTCACCCTCAGTAAACGGTAAAAGCTCTTAGGAGGGGGCAGCCACAGGCCTTCTCAGTCACTTACACCTGATGGTGGCTGAGTTTCCAGACTCCTCCTGACAGCAGGGGTTCTGACAGAGGAAGAAAAGTTAGACTGGAGAGGGTGAGCACGACCGCCCCCCTAAAGGAAAGCAGCATGAGTACGGATATTGGGAGGAGGCTCCTCTGGAGACCCTACTGATATGTTTGCCAGGAACTAACGGTGCTCAGTCTGTCCTAATTCGCATAAGCAACTTGGTCGATGGATCAGCTTAATAGAAATCAGCCTTTCATAAGAATGAGGAAAATCCATCAGCTGAAGGACTTGAAAATTATACAGAGCAATATATTAGCTTAATTTCAAAACCATTTCCGAGCTGCCCGGCTGCCTAACAATGTGCCAGTGAATGCAGGGGACAGAGCTGTTCCACTCCTGGGAAGCATTTAAACAGCATCTACATTTGTTCCTGACAACGGAGCCACAGAGGCCACGTTTGCCTTAGGCAGGTGTTGGAAACGGATCAAGTTGGAGGTCCGCTGCATTCTAAGGTTCTGATGGTGTACTCAATTATCTCATGGAGACTCAAGATTCTGACCAAGGACGCTGAGGTCAGTGTGACATCACAACAGCCAAAACAGAAACACGGGTGCCGGAGACTCGTAGGTGTAGGAGATCAGGCCACAGCTCCTCTGTGCCTCTTTGAACTGCCTGGGGACGAAAGAGGTGACTGCAAACTTATCAGGCTGGCCTAGACACGGAAGTATTTCAGAGGCAGGGTCGCTGTGAAGGACCCCTGACTCACAGCCTCACCCTGAGCTTCCCAAAGGCCATAGGAGAGGAGGTGGTAGCTAGAGGGCGAGCCTCTTGTGTTTCTCTACCATGAAACCAGTAGTGCTGAGACTATGAATGGTTCTTCCAGCCGGAACTAAAGAACAAAGTCAGGGAAAGGGATGATAGCTTGGAGTGGAATTTGGAAGCTAGGTGGCATCCAGATTTGCTCAACACTAAGGTTAAGGGTGGAGCCTGGATTCGGAATCTAATGCAACAGCAAGTGCTTGGGAGGCAAACAGATCTGCATTTAAATTCCACTTCTCCCAGGAGATTTTTGGCAATTGCCTTACACTTTCCAAGCCTCAGTTTTCTCATGGGTAAAATGGAGCTGATGATGCTTCCTTTAAGGAACTGTATGAGAATTAAATTAGATAGAGTATGGGGGGAAAAAGACAAAAGGAAAAGCTGGGCTCAGAGCGGGCACCCTGATTTCTAATTGTCCTGCTTCCTACTCCCTTTGCACCACAGTCCTCCCCCCTGGCTGCAGAATTGAATCACCGGGGGAATTTTTTAAACCATTCCTATGCCTGAGCCTCCCCTGCCCCAGAGATTCTGATGTAATCAATTCAGGATGAGACGTAGTCATCAAAATTTTCAAATATTTAAAAAATCTCCCCAGGAGACTTTCATAAGTTCCCAAGATTGGAACCCCTGCCCAAGTATATCAGAATAAGTATCGTCTTTGGATTCAAAATTTTCTATTATGGTTTGGGCAAATATTTTACTTCTCTGAGGCTTAATTTATTTAGTATTTTAAGAAGGGGAGTAATATTCCAATTTTATAGAATTCCTTTGAATATATAGTGAGATATATTTCATGAAGTTCCCAAAAGAAGTAACTGACAATTAATAGATGCTCAATAAATATTCATTTCTCTCCCTTTCTTTTCTTTTTTCCCCCAAAGTTTATTTATTTATTTTGAGAGGGGGGAGGGGCAGAGAGAGGGAGAGACAGAGTTCTAAGCAGGCTCCACGCTATCAGCACAGAGCCTGATGTAGGGCTCTCTCCCACGACTGTGAGATCATGACCTGAGCCAAAACCAAGAGCTGGACGCTTAACCGACTCAGCCACTCAAGTGCCCCTCTCCCTTTCTTTTCTTGTCATTAATCAAGGAACACATGTGTTAAGATATAAAATATGAATAAATAAATAAGGCCAATAGACATGACATAGTACCAATCAGACAATTTTGAAATTGATTACTAACTCCCTTCGGCAAGAGTATCTTACCTATCTTCTGCTACGTAAGGTTAAATCCTAAGATAGGGCTGGCAAAAATGGCATTCATTAATCCCATTCCTCCCTTCCATGCTCATGGCAGACATCACTAATCAATCATAGCACTCTTTCCCACTGACCCCTAAAGAAGCATCAAATTCCTTTACCATACAGCCTATACTAACAATTAATCAGAGCTGCCATTTGTATTGAAAGACATTTGCCTTCCCTGTCTTAGGTCATGAGCTGCCTCAAGCCTGCAAATGAAGCATACTGCAGAGAAAATTAAGTGGGCTTCCTGGTAAGTGGAGAGAGTGTGAAGTGGAGAGAAATAAAGGCAGACCCTGAGAGTGCCCAGCTCTGTGCCCCCCGATCTGTACTAAGCTAAAACTCTATGCTTTCCGGTGAGTGCAAGGAATGCAGTGGGGAAACAAGTAAACGCCAAGCTAGAAGTGAAAGAACCGGCATCGGCACGGTGCCCAGTGCACTCAAGGTGCGCTTCCCTCCCGCGATTTCCAGAAAGGGCTAGCAGACTGTTTTCCAAAGCCAGCTTATTTCTCTGACTCGGAAACGTGAAACTAACTATTGCAGTGTTTCTCCCCTAAGGTGATAGGCAAGGGCTCTGACGAGAAGGCGCCCATGAAGCTCAAGTCAGCGGGGGAAAGCCCGACATCGCTGCCTGAAAGCTTGTCACAGCTGAGACCTCGCACACGCCAAGGACACGTGCGGACGGCTGGGCTCCTCCTCTGCTGTGCCCACCCAAGGACAGCCGGCTCTTCTGCAGAGGCTTCTGCTGCTACTCCTTGTTGCTGATTAACCCCTTCCTGGGTCACATGCGCGTTCACTTGTCATGGCACGGCCTCAGCCCCTGCTGGGCAACACTGTGTGACCACTTGGACCTGATTCCACAGCAGGCACGGGTGGTAATTCTGATAGCCTGGTATAAAATCTCTCCTTTGGGACCTTAAATAAGACAGTAACTTACTACACTCAATCTCTCCTTTCTATCACAAGTGCTTCCCTTTGTGAAAATTCAGGACCAGGTGCTGGGAAATAGAACCACGGCACAAGGCACACACAGAAGGTGGATTTTGTTCGTTTTCATTTTTTTGTTTTCGCCTCCAAAACGTTCACCAGGCTCCTTTCCCTTCCACCCCCAGCATGGAGAAGTCAGCATAACGACTGAAGTCACAGGGCAGTGACAGCGTTTGAGAAGCCACACAGAGGCGTGGACAGGGAGCCCCAAGCCCAAGGATCCAGGGCAGGGAGGGGTGAGGCACCAGGCAGGAAGGTGTGGGACGTGGAGCTGAGCAGGAGAAAGACAGCTGGTGTGGTTGGGAGATTGAGCAAATAGGTAAATACACTGAGGATTATACGAGCCAAAATTCTCATTGCCAGAGAAGATATTTATAAACTGAAACAGGAAGTTTAGAAAGAACCCTGAGGTGTTGGACTGGAGCTGAGGTATCACTATGAACTTATGTTTTTATTAGTGGGTGTCTGTGTGTGTGTGTGTGTGTGTGTGTGTGTAAATATATACAGACAGACAGATAAATACAGAAATAGTCACAGATGAAAATGTGTACACGCGTGTATATCCATATACACATACAATGTACAGTATACATTTCCCATCTCTGTCCACTGAGTGAGTGAGCCTAAAAGCAATGTACCCCACTACCAATGAACACACTGAGTGCCTACATGTCGGTTCCTAAATGTCTTTTATTTTTTAAGCCAGTTTTAGTAATTTATTTATTGATATTGTTGTGGGGGATTTTTTCAGGTTTATTTATTTTTGTCTAGAGAGAGCAGGGGGAGGGGCAGAGAGAGAGGAAGACAGAGGATCCAAAGCAGTCTCCGTGCTGTCTCGTGAATCGAGAGACCATGACCTGAGCTGAAGTCGGATGCTTAACTGACTGAGCCACCCAGGCGCCCCTTTATTTTATTTTTAAGTCAGCTCTGCACCCAACGTGAAGCTTGAACTCACACCCCTGAGATCAGAGTTGCATACTCCACCAACTGAGCCAGTCAGGTGGCCCCTAAATGTCCTTTATTAAAAGAAACTAGAGGAGAGACTGGGTAGCTCAGTCGGTTGAGTGTCCAACTCTTGATTTGGGCTCAGGTCATGATCCCAGAGTCATGGGATCGAGTCCCTCTTTGAACTCCAGAGTGAGCATGATGTCTATTTGAGATTCTCTCTCTCCCTCTCTCCCTCTGCCCCTCCCCACCCTCTCTCTCTCTCCAAAATTTTAAAAGAAGAAGAAACTAGATGTCCTTGGGGAAATGGTGGATACCAGGGCTGCAACAGAAAAAGTACAAGTTGAACCTGAAACATCATTTATGCCAGAAAATAAGGAAATGCTCATGAACGATGGGGAGATGTCAAAAGGATACAGGAGCCAGAGTGATAGGGTCAAATCTGGGGCAAATAATGCTCAAACAAGAATAGTAATAATGGATTACAACCCACTGAATAAAATTGGAATCCATGTGTGCATATTCACATACACAATGAATGAATGATTGAGGGAAAAGGAAAGTGTTCTAGTAGAATGCCAACGAATAAACATGGAAGAAATGATGGAACTAGACATTTCACCATCTGGCAACCTTCATAAATGTGGTCCATTGAGTCAATGGATGCTAAGGCCAGTAGTTAGAAGTTTAATAAGGAATAGAAGATCTTTTAATCTCGGAATATGTTCCCATAAAACACTAATCAATTATAAAAGCCAAAATGTTGAATTTAGGGGGGAGAGACTCAACAGACAACATGATTGAGTAATCAAGGTGAGTGGTGGGAAGAGGTGACAACATGTGCCTCCTGGTGAACCAGGAAGAACAAGCATTATTTCTGTAGAATTACTTCCCAGATAGATAGATAGATAGATAGATAGATAGATTATAGATATAGGTATAGATATAGATATAGATATATAGATATAGATATAGATACATAGATGGATATATCTCCTCTGACCAAGTAATTACATTCCTAGGTATTTTCCCAAGAGAAATGAAAGTATGTCCACACAAATACTTGTACAAGAATGTTTAGAGAAGCTTTCATCATAATAGCAATAAATCAGAAAGATCCCAGATGTCAATTAGTAGGAAAATAGACTGTCCTGTACTTATACAATGTAATACTACTGGATAGTAAGAAGGAACAAACTATTAACACAAGGAGTAGCATAGATGAATCTCAAAAACACTATGCTGAGTGAAAGAAGCATTACACAACAGACATAGTGTATCATTCCATTTATATGAAGTTCTAGAACAGGTATCAACGGTGGAAAAAAAAAAAAATCAGAGCAGTCATTGGGTAGGGGGGATTGATATAGAGGTGGAGAAGTGCTCCAGGCAAGAGGCATGAGGGAACTCTCAGGTATGATAAAGTGTTCTCTGGATAGAGGTTTGAATTAAGCAAATATAGGTATTCGCTAAAACGTATCCAACGGTACACTTAAGATTTGTGCATTTTTGTGTACCAATTTTGCCTCAAAAGGAAAGAAAAAGCACTATAAACAAATATTTAACTATAGCTATTGATATGCATACTGAAGTATTTAGGGGAACATAAGTTGACTGATGTCAGTGACTTACTTTGAAATGCGTCCCCCAGATGAGGTGGGTCACTGGATGCATAGAAGGACAAACAGACACACGACAAAGCAAAGGTGGTAAAATGTTAACTATGCAATCTGGCTCAATGCTCCCTATAAATTTATGTTATCTTTTCTGTATATTTTAAAATTCCCACAGTAAAATGCTGAAAATACATATTTTTTAATGTTTATTTATTTCGAGAGACAGACAGAGAGAGAGAGAGAGAGAGAGAGAGACAGCGCAAGTAGGGGAGGGGTAGAGAGTTTAACGGGCTGAGCCACCCAGGTGCCCGTGAAAAAGTATTTTTTTAAAAACTTGCTGTGTGGGGCGCCTGGGTGACTCAGTTGGTTAAGCATCTGGCTTAGGCTCAGGTTATGAATGATCTCGTGGTTCCTGAGTTGGAGCCTTGCATCGGGCTCATTGCTGTCAATGCAGAGCCCACTTCGGATCCTCTGTCCCCCCTCCACCCCCCGTCCCTCCCTCTCTCATGCTCTCTCTCTCTCTCTCTCAAAAATAAACATTTTGGGGGGGGGGCGCCTGGGTGGCGCAGTCGGTTAAGCGTCCGACTTCAGCCAGGTCACGATCTCGCGGTCCGTGGTTCGAGCCCCGCGTCAGGCTCTGGGCTGATGGCTCGGAGCCTGGAGCCTGTTTCCGATTCTGTGTCTCCCTCTCTCTCTGCCCCTCCCCTGTTCATGCTCTGTCTCTCTCTGTCCCAAAAATAAATAAAAACGTTGGAAAAAAAATTTAAAAAAAAAAATAAACATTTAAAAAAAAAAACTTGTTGTGGACTAAAAGAAGAGGAATGGTGTCACGATGGTGAAACAGCATGATGCAAAGATTTGGATGAGCTGAAAAGCCTGGACAAGTTGCGTTGGCGCAGGTCTCCCTAGCGTGTGTGCTAAAAGAAACGAGATACAGGAACACCTGTGGGCCAGTTCTTCCCATCATCCCTTGCGTCGCCATCACTCAGAATGCCTACCTATTTGACCACTGACTGATAGCATACTCTAAAACACCAAATCGACCTGATCATTTTTATTTTGTCTCTCTCTGAACGTGTTACCAGTTAACTACATTGCATGAAAACAGCTTGTTTGATGTAACTGAATGTCCTTTCGTTTCTGTTCTGGATCAGTAGTTATCTCCCAGGGAGTGTGCATCCCAATGGAATGTATTTCTTTTTGTTGCTAGTGTATTATACTGGCAATGCATAATATATCACACTTAATATTCTGCTACATGTTTTGTGCCTATTATATCCCTGGACAGCTTTCCATGTCAATGCATATAAATCACATCATCTGCAAAATGGAAACATGATAGTTGTGAAGAGTAATTTAGTTAATACTTATAAATAATCTAGAACAATGTCTGGCACAGAGTAATTGTTTAGTGAATGTTAACTATTGTTACTCCATTGTACAGGCGTTCCATAATTTGTATAACTTATTGATGGGCATGTAGGTTGCTGCCGATTTTTCCCTATTACAGATAATATGGAATTGAACAATCTTGCACATGTATCTTGATACATATAAATGTCACTAGGATAAATTCCTAGAATTGGAACTACTACATCACAGTAAATGTATTGTGTGCCAGTCATGTATCTAGTGCTCTCAGCCAAAACCCATCCTCCCATCCTCTGCTTTATGACCCTGGTGTGGGACTCTTTCCCAGACTGCCTTGCTGGCTGACCTCGTTTTTGGTCTCTTCCAGGAAGATATTGCCTAATCAGGGGCGCCTGGGTGGCTCAGTTGGTTAGCCATCTGACTTTGGCTCAGGTCACGATCTCATGGTTTGTGGGTTCAAGCCCCGCATCAGACTCTGTGCTGACAGCTCAGAGCCTGGGTCCTGTTTCAGATTCTGTCCCTGTCTCCCCCCGCTCATTCTCTCTCTCTCTCTCTCTCGAAAATAAATATTAAAATTTTTTAAAAAAATATTGCCTAATCAACCTCCAAAATGGTTGCATCAATTTAAGTTCCCACCAATGGCATATAAAAGGGCATCTTCCAGGGCGCCTGGGTGGCTCAGTCGGTTGAGCGTCCAACTTCGGCTCAGGTCATGATCTCGCGGTCCGTGAGTTCGAGCCCCGTGTCGGGCTCCGTCCTGACAGCTCAGGGCCTGGAGCCTGTTTCAGATTCTGTGTCTCCCTCTCTCTGACCGTCCCCCATTCATGCTCTGTCTCTCTCTGTCTCAAAAATAAATAAACGTTAAAAAACATAAATAAAAAAATAAAAGGGCATCTTTCTGTACTTGTAAAGTGCTGGTGGTGGTGGTGTTTAATACAACTGTAATGCCCTAATCCAGACCTTCTGAGAGAGAATCTAGAGGGGTGGGGCCTGGGTATCTATGTTTTCTAAGAGCATTGCAAGTGATCTGCACAGCCAGCTATGAACATTGTTCTAGATCTTTGATTCCCAAAGTGTGCTCCCTAGATCACACCTGGGAGCTTGTTAGA